GTGGACGACCTGTCTGTCGTGGAGGCTGATGTGCTGATTGGAGTTAACAGCATCGCGACTCTGGGTGGTGTGCATATGCAGTATGACGCAGGAGAACTGGTGGGGGTTGTATTCGGGACCGTCAATGCTGCATGCCCATTGGTGCTGGCGTCGAGCACCCCAGATGAGCATCCATCACGCCCCGAGTCGGAAGCACGAGCCGTCGCTGAAGACTTTCACCACGCGGACGTGGAGAAGCTCAGCAATGGCGATGTTGTGCTGCGGGCATCAGATATGATCCTCCGGTGGAGTACGGCTGACAAGGCGTGGGAGGTGCAGTGGCAATGGGCGGACAAGACGGAGCCGACTACGTGCATCGGGTCAGGCCTTGGAGAGTACCCACGATCCAAGCTCTCCAAGGAGCAGGAACAGCTATTTGGAGATGAGGTTGAAAAATGGCTCGGCAACGGCTGGCTAGTGAAGCATGACGTCGAGAAGCATGGTGAGCCGAGATGTGTGCTGCCTCTGCTCGCTGCTACGCAGGAGCATAAGGCATCAACGCCAGTTCGGCCCTGCCTCGACTACCGGCTCCTCAACCAGAAGCTGACGTCGCACCCTGGCACAGACGCTCCGGCATGTGGCGAGACGCTACGGAGGTGGCGTCAAGCGGGCGTTCCGCAAGCGTATCAGCTGCTGGATATCAGCAAAGCGTACCTACAGGTACGCATTCATCCCGATTTGTGGCGTTATCAGTGCGTGGTGTGGCGTGGCGAAGTGTACGTCCTGGAGCGGATGGGCTTCGGGCTGTCCGTGGCTCCAAAGGCAATGGACTTGATCGTGAAGTGGGCCACGCGTGATCTCGCTGGCGTAGACAACTACGTGGATGATCTCTACGTCCCAGAGCAGCTCGTCGACCGCACCAAGTCGCGGCTCCTGGAGTATGGCCTGCCAACCAAACCGGCTGAGCCAGCTGTGAGTGCGCGTGTGCTAGGTCTGCAACTTCAGGCTGATGAAGAGGGGAGTGTGTCGTGGACGCGTCGCGAAGGTGTGTCTCTACAGCTACCCGACAAACCAACGAAGCGCGAACTGTTTAGTTGGTGTGGCAGAGTGATTGGGCACTACCCTGTGTGTGCCTGGCTGCGCCCATCGTGTTCGTATGTCAAGCGCCTTGCCTGCACGTCAGAGGTGGCATGGGATCAGGCTGTACCGGAAGCTGTCTTGAAGTGTTGCCGCGACATTGTTCACCGCCTGTGCAATGATGATCCCGTTAGCGGAGTGTGGTACGCTGACCCAACGATGGGTACGTGGCGAGCGTATTGTGACGCGTCCAACCTGGCAATTGCCACGGTGCTCACGCAGGATGGCAAGGTTGTCGAGGATGGTTCATGGTTGCGAGACAAAGCAGACAAGCGTCATATCAATGTGGCGGAGCTCGAGTCGTCTCTGAAGGCGCTGGATCTGGCCATCCGGTGGGACGTCAAGAACCTGACCATCGTGACCGACTCGAAGACGGTTGCTGGTTGGTTGCGCTCGGTCTCGCAGAATACTCATCGCGTGAAGGTCGGGGGTCTCCACGAGTCTCTCGTCCGTCTCCGCCTGCAGGTGTTTCAGGACACTGTGGCTGCTGCTGGCATGACGGTGTCCGTGGAGTGGGTCCCCTCGGAGTCGAACGTTGCAGATCGGCTCACCCGCGTGCCGACCTCATGGCCTCCCTGTCGGGAGGAAGCAGGTGAAATCGCAGCAGCGCTACCAGCAAGCTCTATGAAGGGGCCAACGTCGATGCGGTCTATCCGCGGGTGCCAAGCGGTAGATGCGGACGTGCAGCTGACAGTGACACAGCTACAGGATGGAAAGCAAGTGACGAGCCAGCTGTACAAGAAATCAAAGGGTCAGCTGCGTGTTATTGATGGCGTCCTGTACCTCAGTCGTGTGGACCCCGTCGATGGTGATGTGATCGTACCGGTCCTGCCTACTGCACTGCAGAGTGAAGCCGTCGGTGCTGCTCACCGCAACACCGGACATGGTAACTGGGAGACCATGTGGGGCAGTCTTCGGAAGTGCTGTCATTTCCCACAGATGGCGCAACGCTGCCAGGAAGTCGTCCGAGACTGCGGGACGTGCCGTGCAGCGAACCCGTCGCGAGGAGAGCTCAACCCTCCAGCCGCGAGAAGCGACCTACCAACCAGGCCGTGGGAAGTCATCCAGATTGATACGTTAGAGCTGGGACCCAGCCGCAGTAGTTCCTACCATTGTGTCCTCGTGTGTGTGGACATGTTCACACGGTGGGTGGAAGTCGTACCCCTAGCCCGCCATGATGGTGTCAGTGTCGCGGAGGCGCTTGTTGGTATTTGCACCCGGTTTGGCCCACCAAGCGTAATTCGATGTGACAACGGCACGGAGTTTGTTAACTGTGTGGTGTCGTCTCTGCTATCGATATTCGGCGTACATGTGAGGCATGGAGCTGTGCGCCACCCTCAGAGCCAAGGGGGAGCCGAGCGCTTCAATCGCACGCTGCTGGGTCTTATCCGCAAAGTGGTCGAGTACAGCAGCGATTGGCAGACAGAGCTGAGCATGCTGCTCTACTACTACAGGGTGCGGCCGCACAGTGCTACTGGGATTTCGCCATGCGCCGCAATGATGGGATGGGAACCACGCAACCTCCTGGTCGAGCGCGAGGAAGAAGACCTCAGTTTGTCAAGCTGGGTTGAAAGCTTGGCAGAGAAGACGGCACGTGTGCGAGACCTCGTAAACGAAGAGCTCTCCCGGAACGACACAGAGAGCGTGATCGAAGGAGCAGAGTACAGCGTAGGGGATGCGGTGCTGTTACGTCGGCCTTCCCGGAGCCGCAAATGCCTGGCACCGTACGAGCCTGGGTGGCGCATCGTTCGCGTTGTGTCGCCGTCGACAGTTGTCATCACCCGGGCTGCTGATCCACACTCAGCGGAGAAGATTGTCAACGTGGAGATCATCAAGAGGGATGTCGCCCGTAACTTGGCCCAACCAACAGCGCCGATGGACGACAGTGCAGCGGCAACAGATGGTGGTTATCTGTACCAGCCAGCATCAGTGCTGCCAGGCCCTGAGCCCAACATTGGGGATGGCGGCATTCGCATGTCCCTGCGAGACAGATCTGCCATTAGGCCACCGCAGCGCTATGGCTCCTGAAACTGCACGTGTGCCGTGTTATCAGTCTAGCTTGGCGCGTGCTTAGTTGGGAGCAAGCTAGCAAATGCAAGACCCATTACGCATTTTGCTATTCTCTTGTTTAGCTGTTGGTGGAGTGTTGTTCTTTTCTTTGGAGAACCTTAGTTCTACGTTTTAGTGCAAGTTCCCTGTTTTGTTGTGTTACCAGGGGGGAATGTGTGATCGAATCCATGTGTTCAATGCATTCTAGGTTGCTAACATAACAAACCGGACCAGACACGGTATGGACTCATGATTGTATGTAGGTGTGAACAAGTTAGTTTCTGGCAATGTTGTGGTGTTTGGTTTCCGCCCAACATTGTCGATCTGCATGTTTGCACTAGCGTGCAGCTGAACCAACGCAGCCGAACCAACGTGCCTTGCAATGCTTTGCTAGGCTTTTCTTTCACTGTATCTTTTTGGTCACATATAATACCGTACACTTTTCTTACTCAACAGAATCTTAGAACGAAGAAGGAACGGTCGGTTGTTGTCTTTGGCGGTGTGTCGGATCATAGTGCATGCTACTAGGCGCCATTCGGTTACAAGATCATGGTGATGACACCCTCGCGGGAGCAGAAAAGATGTGAAAGCACGGGTTCTGAACCCCCTTGGGACAATAATGTTTCTGAACATAGCTATGTCGGCGTGCATTTGGCGAGTAGCCCTTCATGTTTATACCCCACCGCCCCTCCACCACACTGTCTATAGTCTATAGTCTATAGTGTGGCTTAGGCGTCAGACTTTACTGGTGTACATGTACTAATATGCGTATTTTCCACTGGATGGACTCCATGGGTAAACCCTAGTCAATCTCAAAGGGAGCCCTACACAATGTGTACTTCAGTATGTCATACCTACCACTAGTACTAGTCTGAATAGGGCTCCAGGTTCCGGTGCAAAGTTATCCCAGCACAAGATGGAGGACAAAGACTCACCATGGTCACTGAAGTGAAGGAAGTTCAAGGAAAAGTGCAACGTGCTCCTGATTGGAACCAGATACTGGTGGGTTGGGCTTTCGTCTTGCACGTGACCATAATGTCCTCGTAATTACATGCGGTACAATACTTATCTGGGCAGAATGGCCAATGCCTATGATGGTATTATACACTATCTAGTTGAGCAAATGGAAAAGGCAAAGCCTGAAGAAAACATTGACTGTCACCACCAGGACTCGAACCAGGGACGTTCGCTTGAGGCCAGCGATGCTCTAACCACATAGCTATAGTGTACTAGTACTAGTAACTGTCATCCAAGCAAGCATTATATCCAACCTAGCCAAGCCTATGATGGCCGAGCGTTTCACACAAAAATAAGGAAAACTTGACGATTGTTGGATTCATACCATGTCGAGCAGAGCATGGCCCGGTGAAGTGATCCCTTTTGATACTTTTAGTTCGCATAGCGTTACTCGTCTTGAATAGTATCTGATATTTTCACTGATTCAGGCTTAGCAATCATGGTTAAATAAAAAACTTTGCTAGCGACACATCCATCAGAAAGGACATAGTTGCTCTATGTCCCGTCCTCTCTAGTGTCACAAGCGAAGTGATCCCTTTTGATGCTTTCAGTTCATCAGAATGGACATGGCATAGAGCTTGTTGCTCTATGTCCCGTCCTATCTATTATCACGGCGGACGTTCTTCTTTGCGGGCTTCATCACACGCTGGCCTGTATCAGTGAAAATATCAGTTACTATTCAAGACGAGCAACGCTATGCGAACTGAAAGTATCAAAAAGGGACCACGAGCAAACCATGCTTGTAATCATAACAGTCATTGTTGGTCTGGTCTCACCTAACCAGCTAACCAGGCTGACTACATAGTGACCACAGTCGAAATCATCACATGACTTGTCAACATGATGGCAGCCATCTTGTCAAGACCTTGCAGATCAACATGCAAAGAGAATACAAGTAGAGACATTGAAATCGGCATAAATCCATAGATTTAGGAAATACGGACATAACGTTAAACAGTTGAAGGATACACATTTCCAATGCACTGAGCGGATTGCAGGTCGAAGCATCATGGTTATGAAGATATGAACGATTTCTGAAACGTGCATTGCTTAGCAGAAAGAAGTCAGAAATAGACATTTCACATTTAGTATTGACAATGCATGAAGTGAAAGGACATAGTAGATTTGTTTCAAAGCTGATACCCAGCAAACTATAAATATGCAAATATCGTTAACGTCGACAGTACACAATTAAAATATATTCGTATAGTGATGTCATAGTGATGTCATAGTGATGTCATAGAGTTGTATTCGCCTTATACGGTGTGATGTCACCGTGATGTCATACTTGCATTGAAAGTATGATGTGTGACATCACTGACATCACATCTGCTTGAGGAACAGAGCCGCACCGCACTGCACCCACTTCTCCGGCTTTCCCACACACGGCACGTTGATCCGCGTCACCAGGCGCTGTCGGTCGGCGGTAAAGTAGAGGGGCAGCGCCAGGCAGTCCTTGGTTGGGTAGGGGTCTTCAGCACTCTGAAGAAATCGACAACAATTAGAATAAGTACAATGCTCGAGCAGGTCACTATGGGCCAGTTTACATCCAAGGCATCTATCTAAATAACTGAGTTTATGAATCCTTAGCCTGTATAGAAAGGTCAATGTCCCGTGTACAGGGCAAGCAATACATACAAGTTTCCGGCATGTTGTAAGACAGGGGAGATATGGTACTTAAACCCAAGCCATACTACAGGTGGGTTGTTGGACAGGGGATAAGGTAAAGTTACCTTTTGAACCCAGGCCATATTGCAGGCAGGTATGGCTGCCACTGTTGGTGAGTTTCTCTCGTTCTCCAGCAAACGCTTTCCGTCAAACGTGCAACCTTCCAGATAAAGTTCACCCACCTGTATATATGTACACAACATGCCCCCCCCCCCACACACACATACACACACATACACACACACACGCACGCACGCACACACACACACACACACACACATTTACACGTGCAAGCACACGCACACACTCGTACACACGCGCGCACGCGCAAACACACACACATACACACAGATTAGTACCGAAACACAGACAGGCAAATGAAGATACCAGTAGAGAGGAGCACTGATGCATGTCTTCAATCAATGATCATGAACCAAATACACAGCTTTAAGCCATCCAGTTCTATTTCAAGAAGGCGCCAACCTTCAACACACTATCTCTATTCAGTTGCTCAGACTTATCATCACATTCTATTGTTGTACATGCACAGGTCGTCTACCCCTGTTAGTATGACATCAGTTACAAGACATATCTCATTAGTAGACAATGATCAACACCCCCTGATGCCTGAAAAGCGTACATTCACGTCCGGATAGTAGATAATACTCATTATAAGACAAACAATTTGAAACGCCGTGGTTATCTACTAATGAGAGTAGACCTGTGCATTATAATTATTTTGCTCCTCTGCGCATGGATCAGCAGTGAATTTAGAACACTGGGAGCGGGTAGATGATAGAATCCTTAAAAGAGAGGGAATACAGGGGTAGTTTGCTTCGATACACAGTCACAGTCTGCATTCCCTACACTCAGTGCAGGCAGTGAGAGACTGGATAGGGCCAGTGCCGCTGGGGGTGGATGATGGTCATACCAGTTGTTTTTCAAGAATCCTAGTGCTCATGGAATGTCTGCGGTGCATCTAGCTATGTGGGAATTCTTTCCGGTTATCACAAAGCACTCCAAATAACTGCTGGTCTTGTAGTGCAGGCGTCAATGTCAGCTGGATATCCATTTTAGAGATACACAGAGCTATGATCCTGAAAATCGGAGCACAGGAACAGTGAGAGGCCCAGACTGAGTCAAGCACTCCCCCGGGGATCTTGGCCCCAAGTCTACTGTGGTGTGTTTCAGTACATTATGTAAAGCAATGGTGAAAGGTAGAGAGAGAGAGAGAGAGAGAGAGAGAGAGAGAGAGAGAGAGAGAGAGAGAGAGAGAGAGAGAGAGAGAGAGAGAGAGAGAGAGAGAGAGAGAAAGAGAGACAGACAGCAGGCACTGCTCACAGATATGGTGAGCTGATGGCTGAGTGTGTAGTTATTGCCCTTCCACCAGCACACAAACTTCAGGCCATCCATGCTGCACTTCAGTTGCCTGGAAAGGTCACAAGATCACACACATTCAGAATCACCGCCATACACCCAGACGGACACAGGCATAAAAGTAAAACAGAGAGGTACCGGGCTGTCCAAGAGAGTGCTCAATACCGAGAGGCAGAGCTAGTTCAAACAATAATACGAGTATGAAAAAAGTGTTTTAACTCCGAGTTCCACGCACTAAGCGATCATCAGAAATCAGCATACATTGTACACATATTGTATACATATACATAATCATACAGACATTATGGAAACAAAGTAATACAGTTATCGTGGTCGGATGACTGCCCTTGTCCAAAGTAATCACACTCTGTGTTATGTTCTTACCGTGCAGTTTGCTGACGCAGTGCATTCAGGAACGTATCCGGTCTGAATATCTCCGACATGTCAAGCTGAGCACCTTTGTAGAGTTGATTGGCGTGTACACGCTGTAGCCATGTATCCAGTGCTATCAGTCGACCGGCCAGTGATCTCAGGTACTGCACGGTGTCTTCTGGACCATCCCACAGTGTCGACCAGACTGGTGGCACCTACACACATGTACACATGTGCACAGGGTTAGTCCAGCTGTTTTGCTACTTGACCCCCCACCCCCATTTTTTGATGCCTGGTTGCAACGCTATCGCCGAAACCTCCGGTAGGTCGAGTTGCCCCCTGTGCATCGACACGTCATCCCTACATACCCTGTGTCTTGTTTTGTGTTTTTCTCCACATATCTCTCAGTAGGCCTGTGTTCCTAGTGAAATAAATAAAATAGAATATAAACAAACCTGGCAATATCACATTATACAGTGGCATACCTCATGATTGAGCATGGCCACTGCCGTCTTCTGTACTTCAGCCGTCAGCAATGACGTGCCGTCAAGCACCCGCCTCAGTGAGGCCAGATCAGCCTTCACCACGTGCATGAGTTTCACAGCGTTCAGGCGTTCCTGCACTAGGAAAGCCCCGACAGGACTCTCAGTGGTGCCATGCACAGGACTGGACTTCTCCAGCTTCTTTAGGTCGGGACCCTGTAAGCAATGTAAATAAAACCAAAACCACTCTAGCATTGGGAATGGTAGAAAGCAACTTGCAAGAACATGTAAAAATTGGGCTGGTAGCACAAACTTGGCTGGCAGTTATTTTCTTACGATGTTCAGGGAAGGTTTATGAAGTTCAACAATGGCTATTCTAGAGAACATTCAAGAGTCGTACTAAGCAATTAGTTGTGTCTCATTGGGATAATATTGCTGCATGGATGAAAGGCAATACCTGGTTTAGTTTGTCCCATAGATCCAGCACAGGTTTGAGTTCTTTAGTCCAGCGTTCCTTGTCAAACTGTCCTCCGGTTACGTCAGGTCGCATCAGCACTTTGAGCTGAGCTATCACCTGCAACATACACATGATTGTGCAATACACAATAGGGATATGATCACAGGATATTGCAGACCGTAGCCAGTATGATGCACAACTGAGAAAGTTCAACTCCCACTGTCAAATATGTATCTAATATTGACTGAGTACGAGGTCAATATAGGAAATAAAAGCCGAGTAAAAGTCCGAGGCGAAGCCGAGGTCTTTTACGAGGTCTTTTATTTCCTATGCTGACCAAGTACGAAGTCAATATTAGATTTATCACGACTGACCAAAGCATGTGTTCAATCGCTAAAAAGGAGTCAAATGTAAGCGGTCAATATAGCCCTAAGGAGTGAAATATGCAGGAGTATTTGACTGCTTAGGTATGGCAAAAATCTATGTGAGTCAATACTAAGGGAATGATAATGAAGTTTAACACTGATCTTCCTTTGAACTGACACCTGGAAGTTTTCTTATGAATGACAGCGTGACCCAATGCTGTATGCAGGCAAACCGATACAAGCAGTATCTTTATTCTCATCCCCAAAATGGAAAGATCAATCTGAGATTCTGAATGCACACCGACGCGTAGAGCTCACCTGTTGGCTGACCGTTCTCTGCGCTGACCGTTCAATGTTCGTCGGCAGTCCAAAGTAAGATGGTTTGTCAATGTCAGGCAGCATCTTGATAATCTCAGAGAAATTCTGCGCAGAGAGAAGTTGCCACATACAACCATTCGAGCAAGTTAGAAGGAAACAGAACGATTGCGACCACCAGCCAGAATCAAACCTGGACCGTAGAGTTTGTGAAAATCAATTGACAGAGCATGACTGTTTATACTTCCACACACCATTGGTTGGTTTTCATATTGAACTTACAACAGTCCTTGGTTTACGGCAAAATGGCAATTTGACCTTGAAAATTCACCTGTTCTCTGTTTTGCAAGACAATCTTTACATATGCCCAAGGATCACCCCCCCCCCCTCCCCCGATCCAAGGATCACCCCCCCCCCCCCACACACACACACATCCAAGGATCACCACCCCTCTCCCCCCGATCCAAGGATCACCACCCCCCCCCCCCCCCGGATCCAAGGATCAAGTAAGACATCACTAACCTTCAGTTTGTTACTGGCTGGCAGATTAACGTCTTGCACCAGAGTCCTCTGCCGGCCCGCATCCTGTTTCACAAACCAATGCATTAGATCATACATTTCAGTAAAGGCAACACCACAACACACAAGCAAAGGCAACACCACAACACACAAGCAAAGGCCAAGGAATTGGACTATGCACAGAATCTCACTTACCACAGCATTTCCATGGCATTATTGAATAACTATGCCGGCTTTGTTGTTTGTCTGTTTGTTTGTCTGTTTGTTTGTCTGTTTGTTTGTTTGTTTGTTATATTTTCTCTTCTTCCTGGGAATTAATCACAGTCTACGTATCAGGATGGGGCAAGAGAGTATGTGGACTGAGTCACGTCTCCTGCATGCACAATACACACAGACATACCTGGTTGAACAGAGACTTGTTGAAGTACTGCATCAGGTAGGATCGCAGAACGTCAATGTCAAACAGATTGTCAATCCGACCGCCGTATATAGCATTCTCCATCAGGCCGTGCATGAACTCCCAGGGTATGGGGCCACCTTCTGCATTGGGATTCAAAAAATATGAACAGTTCACATCGATCACATCTTCAGTTGAGATGCGTTGGCGAAGTTGCGGCACAACGCTGCACTAGTGACTCACGTTGCATACATGTTAGCGGTTACACTGTATACTTAGCGTGCATAAACGATTCCACTAACTCACCCTCCAGGACGTTATTAATTTTACATAAACTCTATAATTCTGTCTGCTCCAACTCCCTCATTCTAGAAGAGAGTTCTGCATGGCAATTATAAATTGTTTATAGTTATTGGAAGATAAATAGACATACATAAGGAACAAAATGTTGTGCATTTCCACTTAGTTTCAACAACAAGGTACTGCATTATCGGACATTGTAAATGGTTCTGACCCCCACCTGCTCTGGCTATGAGGCGCTCCAGGATGTCTGTAGCAGCACGGAGATCAGACTGGGAAAACTCATAGAACTTTGTCCAGCCCTACACGACAGCAACACCAACAGATGTTGTATACATTACATGCATCATAGGAGTCGTGTGTCATATCATGTTTCTCATGCTATTCATCCTTGCACACGCTACACTAGACGTCTGCGTAAGGACAGCTTGCTGGTGTGCTGCATGCATTTATTGCTAGTTCCATGCGTAGCTCTTTGCCCTACTGTGGCGGGAAGGTCGTCCCGTGCAGCCACAATGATCCGCTGCGCTACGGAGGTTCAGTTCCGGCAAACATGCGTGCGGATTTGCATTTTGCTGCTTGGTTTTGATGTATTTGTAGTTAGTGCGAGGAAAGAGCTTGCTGGTGCAGTTGTTGTTTTGGTTTGGTTTTGAGTTTAGTTTGCTCTTTGTTGTTACCTGGTTTGAACGATCGCCTTTTGTGGAATCGTTACGCTCATTGTGGTACAATAATACAGTCTTCAGAAATATCGAATACATAGTGGTCCTTCGAGCCGGATCTAGTCGCGGTTCATTTTATAACCTCACGAGGATGAGTGAGTCGGGGCCGTCCGGACCGAGGCGTAGTGGAAGAAAGACTAAAGGCTGGCACTCGACTCGATATGGGTTTGAGGAGTCAGATGAAGAGGAGCTCGAATTGAGTTTAGCGAAATTGAATAGGCGAGCGGAGGAACTAAAACTCCTGATCGCAGAGGAGACCGCTTCTATGGAAGCGCTGCATGCAGCCTGGATCGCGCGTGGATTGAGTGAGCGTCATGGACGTACATCAACGGCAGAGCCGAGTCCCGTGCCAGTACCAGTGCCGAGACGACCAACGCCTGCACCGCGATCGCGGAAGACGAGTGCTACTTGTAGTAGTCAAGGAGGTGTTGTCGGAAGATTGGACAGCCGAATGTCGATCTCGGCAGCAGAACAAACTAGTTGTAGTTTTGATCAGCCTGCACTTGATGGAGTAGGAGCGCCTGGAACGGCAGGAGTTCAACTTCAACGTGTGTCATATGCGCCTCTTGCACCTTCACCTGCGCCTCGAACTCGCGTGGAACCCAGACTAGCCAGGTTTAGTAGGTCCAGCGGCAGCAGAAGGCAAGATCGCAGCAGCAGCGGCAGCAGAAGGCAAGAGCGCAGCAGCAGCGGCAGCAGAAGGCAAGAGCGCAGCAGCAGCGGCAGCAGAAGGCAAGAGCGCAGCAGCAGCGGCAGCAGAAGGCAAGAGCGCAGCAGCAGCGGCAGCAGAAGGCAAGAGCGCAGCAGCAGCGGCAGCAGAAGGCAAGAGCGCAGCAGCAGCGGCAGCAGAAGGCAAGAGCGCAGCAGCAGCGGCAGCAGAAGGCAAGAGCGTAGCAGCAGCGGCAGCAGAAGGCAAGAGCACGTCAGCGGCCGATTGAACCCGGCTGATCTACCAAGCCGTGGAGTTGCGGCCTCGCACTTGCAGGATGACGGCAAATGGTGGAGTGGCCCAGAGTTCTTGCAAGAGCGTCCGGAGCGATGGCCGAACAAAGACATCATAGTGCCCCAGGTTCTTCCGGCACTGCTTCAGCGTCCGCACCCGATGACTCTCACTGGCCAGATCCAGGCAGAGCAGACGACGTGCCGCCTGCACCCAGACAACGTCTCGTCCTGGAGCTATCTTCTGCGGGTCACAGCCTGGTGTAAACGGTTCCTTCATAACACCAGAGGCCGACCTCAGCAGTGTGACAGCAACGCAGGTGCTACCGTGCAAGTATCTCTCAAGAGTGCTAAGGCTGTTTCGGTTCCCGAATTGACGGTCACAGAACTCCAAGGCGCCGAGCGGCTCTGGATAAGCTATGCGCAGAGGCAGTGCTACGGAGAAGTAGTGTCAACGCTGAAGGAGAAGAAGCCTCTTCCACCCAGTGCACCGCTAACGAAGCTACAGCCGTTCCTGGACACTGACGGTCCACCGCTGCTCCGAGTTGGTGGACGGCTCCGGACCTCACACCACCTGTCTGACCAGTTCCGGTCCCGTGTGATACTGCCCGCCAATCATCGCGTCACTCAGCTAATTGTTGGGCATGAGGATGAACGCTGTCAACACGGAGCAGGCACGAACCATCTGCTCTCTAACCTGGCCGATCGGTATTGGATCATCAAGGGTCGCCAGGTCGTTAAATCCTACCGTCACCGCTGTGTCCGTTGCCAGAAGCTGTGGAGACGTGTCGCTGAGCCCAAGATGGGGAACTTGCCAAACATCCGGACAAGCGGACCGTTACAGGCATTCGCTCACACTGGAGTAGACTACGCTGGGCCTTTCCTGGTCAAGATGGGACGCGGACGATCGCAAGAGAAGCGCTATATAGCCGCTTTCTCATGTCTGCAGACCCGTACATGCCACCTGGAGGTAGTGCGTTCTCTGGATGGCGATGGCATGGAGATGGCTATGGCAAGGTTGTGCCATCGCCGAGGTCGACCAACACTGATCCTATCCGACAACGGCAGTAACTTCGTTGCTACCGATCGTGAACTGCGGGAAGCGCTGAGGGATTTGGATCAAGCCAACATCACAGCTGGGTTGGTGATTCAAGGCATCAGATGGCAGTTTAATCCACCGCGATCACCGCCACCTCTGCCGCCGCCACGGAAACCTCCATGGCCGCTACCTCCTGTACCACCGCGGGGAAGAGCTCGGCCGCACTTCGGCGGAGCATTTGAGAGGGTGGTCGGGGCCTTGAAAAGGGCACTCCAGTCAGTCCTGTACAAGGCTAGCCTGACCGACGAAGAGCTGCAAACTTCGTCGTGGGTCATGTCAACGTCGCAACAGCTCTGGAGACGGCGGCAGACTCAGAGTCGACGCCAGTTCACCCATACCATCGCGGAAAGTTATCCAGCAGCTCCTCAGAGATGTTTGGAAGCGGTGGCTAAGAGAAATGGTCTCTGCTATGAACATCATGACTAAGTGGCGCCGCCAATCGGGCACGGTCGAGATTGGAGACGTCTTCCTCGTCATGGACGATGCGTTATCACGCTACAGATGGCCGCTAGGACCCGTGAAGGCCACGTTCCCTGGCAAGGATGGCATTGTTCGCGTCATGGACATCCAGGTCAACGGCAAGAAATATCGGCGTGGTGTTCGATACCTAGTGTCGCTCGATATCCCGACAGCTGAAGCAGCCACTGCGGTATCTCAGTCGTCAGCCCTCGACTTGGATGAGTTGCAGTAAGACACTAATGGAACAGACGTTAGTTAGTAACACAGTACACTTTCGTCACCTCATTTTCTCGCTGCTTTCTAGAGCATTAGGCACTTATTCCTCTATGTGCTGTGTGCTACATACTAGTATCTTCCTTTGGTGTAGTTTCACTCTCCCCTGGTTCGTTCAAGGTGGGGGGTATGTTGTATACATTACATGCATCATAGGAGTCGTGTGTCATATCATGTTTCTCATGCTATTCATCCTTGCACACGCTACACTAGACGTCTGCGTAAGGACAGCTTGCTGGTGTGCTGCATGCATTTATTGCTAGTTCCATGCGTAGCTCTTTGCCCTACTGTGGCGGGAAGGTCGTCCCGTGCAGCCACAATGATCCGCTGCGCTACGGAGGTTCAGTTCCGGCAAACATGCGTGCGGATTTGCATTTTGCTGCTTGGTTTTGATGTATTTGTAGTTAGTGCGAGGAAAGAGCTTGCTGGTGCAGTTGTTGTTTTGGTTTGGTTTTGAGTTTAGTTTGCTCTTTGTTGTTACCTGGTTTGAACGATCGCCTTTTGTGGAATCGTTACGCTCATTGTGGTACAATAATACAGTCTTCAGAAATATCGAATACAACAGACACAAAGTGAATACTACGCACAATCACGCACATTAGAACTTTGAAATCATTGAACGCAATGATATCACAGGTTGAAGGAAGGCGGAAACAAATCATTCAGCATTCATTTCTGGGCAATGCCATCAGCGCAATCATAAAAAGCAAACATATGAGCTGTACCATAGAAGCACACATAAAAGCAACACGTGTGCGCGCACACACACTTACGTACCGCCCCCCCCCCCCCCCCCCACACACACACACAATCAAGCAAGCAAGCATGTACACATACATGAATGCGTGCCCGCACGGACGCACACCACCACAGCCATCGCCACCACCATTAGCCACACTATACCTGAGGTATGAACGTTCGTCTCTCCTGCACCACAGCATGCAGCCAGGCGACAGCGAACAGTGACTGCGCACGTGTAACACTGCCATTGGATAGGAACTCTGGACTCCATGCTTCGGTGGTGCGCAACAAGTTATTGCGAATACCAGGAGGAGACTACAAACACAAAGAGAACCAAAACGGAGAGGGTGAAGAAGAGCCAACAAGAAGAGGGTAGAGACTACCTTCCATAGCATGGTATGGGAAAGCTCACAGCAAACATTTGAGCACACAAAGACTCACATGGGATGAACGAAACGCTTCACATTAGTAGTGTGGGCTTACTAGGGTTTACTGGGGTGTTAACTCACCTCATATGTAAGCTTCAAGCTAGTCTGCAGAAGAATGGCTGGGAAACGAGGATGGACTTCGGCCGTCAAGAACAGCCTGAAGCCCTCGACTGTTTCAAGAGAGTTGAGTTCCTGAGCAAAGTGATATCGAAATAAGTTTTCAAAACAGTTTGGTCAATATGAATACATTGCCGTAGGAGACTGACGTTGAAATCATTTCTACTTCAAGCCTAGCTTTATGGATGATGGCATGGTCAGTCTGCAACATTAGTCTAAGTGCAATATGCTAGATGATGAAGTAACATGTCTTGCAAATCAATTTCAAGAGGAAAGTGTCTGCGCCGCTGAGAAGCCCTTCCGTGTAACTTGAAAGCAACACGTTGAATTGATCAGCGTTCTGGCAATTCTACGCTGCACACGGCGACATCCTTGAATACACTAAATTGATTTTATTTCAAAACTCCACTCACAACTCAGCTAGCTGCACGGTGTTTACATGTACAACGGATTGAGCTTAATCTTTCCTTTTCAAACCTGCTGCGTACCTTCTCCAGTGTTGGCAGCCAGGCAGTGACCAAATGCAAGTTCTTCAAACAAAGCCAGGCCCCATTAGCAGCACACTCGCTAAGCAGTCGCAATGCTATCTCTGCCTGGCCTTGTCCCATAGCAACCTGCATCGCAAAATACAAAGCAGCAATTAAAATTGCATCCTGGTGTGTGTGCGTGTATGTGTGTTTGTATGTGTATGTGTGTGTGTGTGTGTTTTGTGTGTGTGTGTGTGTGTGTGTGTGTGTGTGTGTGTGTCTGTCTGTCTGTGTGTGTATGTGTG